TTTAATGACATAGCTAATTTATCCAACCGTCTTCTGATAAAATTTGCATATCAGATTTAAGGTGCCGCCCAACTAATTGTGTACGGATATAAAGGGGTCTGACGACACAATCTTAGAACTAATGAATGACACATCACAAGGTCGTCCGAAATAGATATTCGATAGCTGGTAAATTGTGATTTTTTTTAATGTCTGGCCATATTTCTCATCCCACAGCAGATTCAAAGGAAGATATAGGCCTGTATGTCTTCTTAATTTTTGGATGTAGATGTATTAAACGGTAGACACTCCCATAGATTGAGCCGCGGGGTATATCATCTTCATTTAAAGACCATATATAATAAGCCCATTAAAGAGTGAAAGTTACCAGTAAGTCGGTACTCGTACATTATATATATATATTTCTATTCCAATCCTTTTGATTTCACAACGGCTATCAAACTTTTTCCCTCAAAAAAACAACAATTAAATACCGACATCATCACAATCCAAACTCAAATTCAATAAATCTTGGGCAAATTATGAAGGAAATAATGATTTACACGGAAACTCCTGAAGTAGTACAAGGAGTACAGGACCAGGTTTTCGGGAGAGTAAGCGTATTCTGCTTCATCGACGACACCCGCCATGTAAATCTTAGTCAATCTAAATAATGTTACCTCCTTTACTCTATATTTTATGGTGTTGAGGTGTTTGTCAGGATACGAACATGGTATTGAAAAATCTCCATGGTAATGTAGCTATCGACAATGCACCTTCTATCTATGGTGAGAAATACATGTGATTACAGTTCTGAAAGTCGGTATCTAAGACAAAAAGATCCTTGTTACATGCATTTGGTTACTGGTATCCCTCAACTTGTACTTTTTATATTTGTAAATTTTTGTTAAGTCTAGTTACCATATACAGTATAGTTATTGTCGTCCAGACCTTGTTGTATTCACTTGTCACTCGTACTTGTGTCGCTAATAAATCAACTGGATGGCATCAGGTGTTCTAATTTACGCTATAAAAATGTTTACCTCTATATCGTCCCACAGTAAATATACACACCGTATCTAAATATTTATAGAGAAAATCATTAGAAACCACCTTTTCAACCCCCGGTGTTTAATGCTTAATATGGGGTGTTATATGGGTGTTATCAATAAGACATTATTACGGCCACGGTCATACCTTTTGCACTGAAAAATACAGGTACATTGTGATATATGGTAACACCTAATACATTTCTTAAGCTAGTAAATCATGCTTTTTCAATTTCTAACATCCTGTTCAATTCCCGATATTGTATACCATTACTACTTTAAGCACCTAGAATACCTCCGATATTCGTTACTGTTTACTCTCCGTAATGGCTCATTTGTCGGTATGTCTAGCTGTTCTATCAGCAGCGTGGCTATTTTGCTATACTCTAATATCGGCCTAGTAAAACTACAATACATTATTTACAGAACTACACTACATTATCTACAGAACTACACTACATGGTGTCCGGACCAAATATATATGGTTCAGTTCAGTTCATTAATTAGCTACATTGTACCTAAATGTGTGATTTTTGTACAATCTCTGTGATTGATGGTATAAGGCACGTTTTGATTCTATCGAGACCTGGCTTAGTTCTTTTGATATTTCTTTCGCGTTCTATTCTATACAGGGACGATATAGCTGTATGCTGCTGCAGTCTACTACAGTTTTCGCTCTACTACATCTACTTCTAAATCTTGACTACAACTACAATGTATTTTCTATAGAACAAATATTCATTCTATCTCGGTTCAAATTGTCGTCTACGCTCCCGAGTTGTGATACCTGGATCATTCCAAATATAGACAACCATATACTCTTACGGTTCTATCATCTTATTTCAGCCATGTACGCGGTGGGCAGCCTCGGTCTGGTGTACGGATTACCAGAACACAACAAGACTCTCACAGACCGATCTTCCATCCCAGAAACTGCCACTTCGCTGTCGTTGGAGAGAACCTCGCCTGGAAACCGTCCACTCTCTCTACTTCCGCCCCTCAAGTCAAAGAAAAGGCCTTCTTCATATTTTTCATATGGGTAGCAACAAGATGATGTGTATGTCCGTCCTAGATCTTCCAGAAAAATACAAACAATATTTCGTGCTAAATGTTGGAAATAAGATATTATTTATAAACCAAATTATACTTCCTGTTAATTTCAGATTCAACGTTGTTACATTATATAGATTTTGGGAGATGCCAAATAGCACGAAATATACAAATCAATTTGACAATGATGAAATGTGACCGAGTGTCGTTCAGAAAGATTAATTTCATCATGCTTTCACTGGATTGTACATCTTTTATTTGCCCATCCGTTAAACTTATCAAATTCAATTATGTATCCTACATTCGATTCTTTAACAAATGTAGTATTTGTTATCATTTCGTTCAGTGCTATTTACTTTTTAAAAGTTTAACAAATATTTAACATTCCACAAACAACCAATAACGATTGTCGACAAAAAAATCCATTGCTATATTTTCGATGGAGAAATGAAAAATTGTGTTGCATTGATTTTTCATAGAAACATTAAAGAGTTCAGTTATTGTGTTGAGTCATGGAATTAAGATATCACCGTGTTAGGCTTACGAATGATCGTGTTTAAGAGTCGTGGAATCCTTCCCCGCTGTATGTCAGAGTGCCGGAATCCTTTCCCTGTGGTGTGACAAAGTCCTTTGGGTCAAACACAAACGTTTACTACATAAAACTTTGTCAGTTAGCTCACGGAGATTTACTTTTCAACGGTAAAAAAATGTTGATCGACAGTAAGCTTGCCTGCTGTGTACACTAAAGTGTAAATCACAGCGCCAACAGATGTTGAAGTTTTTTCTGGTTCCAGGTATTCAGCGTTTGGTTACAGGTAAACAGTGTTAAATGAAAAATTTCAAATATAAATAAAATTTACAATGTAAATTGAGAATACCGTGTTTTGTTTCACAGCTAATGATTTGTCGAGTGAGGTTATAATGATTTGCACGCTTTCAGTATCAGTTTGGCTTTGAAAACGTTTGCTTTCATTACAAAAAGTAGACAAAGCCTATATAAAACCTCTCCCTTGTTTTTTAAAATTGTGAACTCTCACCAAGTTTTCACAACCATGGCCTGTTGTTTTCTTATCAATACGTTACTAATTTTAAATGTGAATTAGGAAACACAGAAAAAACTAGAGGAAATTACATGTTTACATCACTGGAGAACGTGAAAGTAACGTTATATAGTTAATAAAATATTCAATCGGAACAGATTTTACATCATCAGTCAAGAATTATGGGCTTAAAAATAAAAGTTCCTTGAAAAGTTTGACATAAAATGAATATGGATTTGGAGAGGTAGGAGGGCAGGAGACATGACTCGTGTGATCCTCACAAGTAAAGTACACGTGATGTAATTAGGACACAGTTTAATTTAAGTGCGTGACGTAATCAAAAGTGATATGCGTGGATATTCAATATCTAATAATACATATACTGTGGTAACCATTACAAACTATACCTGGCCAATTCCTATACAGTTTAATAACTTTATCTGTAGAATAGTCCCGGGTGATCAGAAAGATCGCGATAATTCCTTGGGAATGATATATAGTGTAAGCTACATGAATGGATCAATGTAAATACATGTTGATAACACTGAAAATCATTTTATACGCGAATATAATCGTAATGAATAGATTGATTACTAAATCAGAATTCCCACCACAAATTAAAAGTGAAAAACATTTTCGTCTTTGATCATTTAATTGACATTTAGTGGACCAAGGTAATCACTCTAATTGGTGATCACGATTAGAGAGGGGACCAAAGTGTACTTCAGTGTGTACTGACATTCAATCGTTTACCACTTGACATTGATAATTATCACGCAACGTGTTAATGGCAATGTGTTAATCACTGAATTAACCTTGACTGGTTTTAATGACAATTAGACACCTGTGTTTAGAACTTTTTATCACTAGTGTCAATAGATATTGTCCTCGTAAAGCAATGCGATCTAATGTGGTATTGCTCCGCTACACGATTCACTTAATCGTAATTTGACTTACTTGAAGTAGTTAAATTAATACTATTAATTGTACCTGTCCCGTCTCACGTTTCCCTTCCTGTAGTTTCTACCCACAATTCCTCTTTCACTCTAGTTCAGTGATCCATACTCATTTAGCCGTGCGTCCTATCGTCATCTTTATGAGCTCGACACCCCAATATCAACTTACGAACTTGAATTAGAGCTATATGTCAGAACACATAAGACCTAGGTCCTGGAAACAACATCTTACTTAAGAGATTACACTTGGTAAAGTCCTAGGAGAAGAGGTACAATGTATATGTGGTCTTACGGGTTTCTGGTCACTAACAGTATTTTTGTCTGTTTTTCTCTGTATATATAGCGTTGTTTTCGACTGACACTGTTAGCTATCGTACTAAATAACAGCAGGTGTCGATAGGACGTAAAGCAGCATAAAACCAAAGGCTATGACCTCAAAACTGATCTCTGTAACCTCACCTCCGACACTGGACAATTACTTGCTGTTACTGTAAAATATAATCTTTCAAACATCGTTAAAAAATAGTGTCTGCAATACAGTCGATGTGTCCATCTTCCTGTGATGTTCGGGTATATGTCGCTGGTGTTCTGTAACTTTTTTTCATTATATTCGTAATCAAAATACAAGGTGTACTTTAAATATATATATATTATTTTTATTTTTTTTTTCGTCTTTCACTTAGCCGTTCGAGGGGTTGATTCCCGGAAGTGATGTCAAAAAGTAACGGGTCACCTGCCTGACCACGTGGGTTTCCCCGAGTACTCCGGTAAGACCCCGCGCATCACGTTTCAGAAACCATGCGTGGTGTGCAGCAATCGAGGGGAGGCTACTCTGACGATCATTGTTACGTTAGCTAGCATTTCTTTTCCGAATAGAAAAAAACATCGATTTTTTTTCTTTTAAAGTTACAAAATTTTGAGTCGGTTTATATAACAAGTGGAATCAGAGCTTTCCGATCTTTAGGATAGTCGTCAAATTTTTCTATGTACCACCTAAAACAGAGGAGAGATTGGGGTATTTCAACAGGCATTTCTTTAAAGATTCTGAAAGAGACATCAGGAAAAACTGAAATAAGATTTCGTTGTTAATAGATCATTGAAAAGAAGTTGGCACCTTCAAATTGATAATTAGAACAAAATATTCATACAATTTAGCTTCCAAAACCTGTTTATATCCTTACTAACTTTTAATCACGAAAGGAAAGCAAACCAAATGTTCTAAGATAAGTTATATTTAAAACATGAAAAAATAGTAACCTTCGCCCCCTCCCAAGGGAAAATCAGGAAACATATTTAATATTGATGTTTAATTATTTTTATGAACATTTATTTATAAGATGTATTATGAAATACACTGCAAGTCACACGTGACAGTGAATCCTACCGGTGATGCTGGAAAGCTCGTGGCGCTATGGAGGCTGTGGTGGAGAAGAAAAAAGCCACGGATGACAAAGTTCCGTTAGCAAGTGCAAACCCAAACCATTCAGTAATCTCGCCGAGAAAGTTGGCTCCAGATACGTACGTAAACAGACCACCTGCAAGTAATATAATATACGCTGGCAATGGTGTAGGGGAGATAACTGTAGTTAAAATTGTTAAAAATGAATATTTATTAAAAAAAACATCGACAAAGAGTGCCAACAGACTAAAATCTGATGTTGTTTCTGGTTTTATTGATTTTATTGTGAATTATTGCTATCGTACTGAATGTCACTATGAAACGTGGGCGTTTGAAGCAAATATATTACCCATGCTAATCTGATTTAGTAATTTACATTACAGGTCTGGTGTGTAGGTGCAATCGTTCTTACCTCTGGGAATTTTGTATCCGGTTTCGCCTGGTTTTCTCAGAGTCCTTAAAGTGTGGTCTGAGTGAATATTTATGATTAATCCCGAGAAAAATATCAGTAAACCTGAATAAGATACCAATACAATGTAAATTGAGGGGCAAATAGGCCTACACGTCCTACCGTAAAATAGAAATTTAAGTGTATGCTATGTTAATTAGGTCACTTATACTTCCTAATTTGTATTTTCTATCTAGCTTGTTTTCCTTCATACATTTTTATAATCCTTATCGAGATCAGTGACATATTTTCCAGCTTCGGAACTTTCAGTAGTCTTTATAACAGCTCATGGTAACATATTACATTACTTGTACAAGTAAACTTAACATGATAAGCAAATTCACGTTATGGACATACCAATGTAAAATAGTGGATCCCTATGCCAGTCATCCCCGAAATCGGCGTGGTGTAAGAGATATGCTGCTTGCAAATATCCATTGAATATACAAAACAGCACAGCAAACACAAAAGTTACCAGAGAGACAGGCTTACCTCCCCTTATCAAGAACGGGTAAATAAGTGATCTGTGATAAGAAGACAAACAATAGATATTTGCAGGTAATCCTGTACAGAACTTCGATATTGTCCTCTGTTAACTTTAAACAGGGATGAATAATATAGATATTACGTTCCTGCTATGAACAAATGTAATTTCGATATATAATATCATTGATTAGTTCATGTTGGTAGTATACGTTTGTCCTTCAAATGTTACTTAAAATAGCCCGTTATCTCTAATACATTTAGCATGACGTCATAATTACAATGACGTCACGAAAAGCGCTTCAGAATTGTAAATCATTTATTCCATTATCAGAACGATTCCACTTGTAAAACATGTATATTGAAGTTGATCAAGTCAATGGAAGAGATCGTTCCTAATTATCAGTTTGTGTAATAGCTTTTTCCGGAAATGTCTTTAACATTTATTTCCCATTTCAAACTGTATGAAGAAAGATTGAACGTTTCACCAGCTGAAAGCGACATTAATAGATCATACAAATTAATGTTAATACATACACATGTTTATTCAATCAATGAACATCAAAACAATTTTTTTTCACATTCAACACTTGTGATAATTATTTTCATGACGGTGAAACGTCACACTTATTTAACAGTCTAGATATTGTAAATGTTTACCTGTGTATATAATGTAAAACAAAACATCCAAACAATATCTGGTTCGGTGATTCCCCTATCCTTGGCGAGGTCGTGAATGCTAAAAGTACTATTGGAATGGTAATGGACGGAAGTTCCCAGACGAACCAAGCCAGCCTGGAGTTGATATAACACCCATACCCTTCCCGGATGTACCGTCCGTAGGACGCACCGGTAGTTAGGAACAGCTGAGAAATAGCGACGAATCCAGCAAACCCGAGAATGGCATAGGTAATGGTATCAAGTGTGTCTTTGTCAACTCTGATGTAGTTCTCCATATCAAAATTTCACAATTTGAACAACAAGATTAAAATTTAGTCCTCATCTCACAAATCAGCGTGTATAAACAAACTATCCAGCCATGTTGTATACGTGTATTGATAAACGAGGTCAAAGTTCACAGGAGTCATTGTTAACGGCGATATTTACGTACCCGGTGATTTTCTGTACTGTTGTAATGGTGAAAAACAAACCAGCGAGTCCTGTGAAAGCCTCATCACACGAGTGATTTAAGCTATCACACTGACACCAACGACGGAAACCTGTCTATAGATTTTTACCTAAAACTTAAATGTAAATAACCATTCTGAGTAATATGTATTGTGTGGTATGGTCAGATTGACCAGTATTAATACCCAGAAACACTTTAACCATCAGAAGATTCACCAAATTTTACCTTAAAGGGATATTCTGTATAAGTTTGGATATCAAATGATAATTTTATTGGAAAAAAAATCACGAAAGGATTTACTTGCGTTCTTAGACATATGATTTTCAAGTTATAGAAATTCTATATGGGTCAAGCAAGATTTACAAGCATTCGCTAAACCCTGACTAAGAGTGACAGGGTTGCATTTTATTTGCCGAACAGCTTGAAATATTTGTGTGTATTTTTAAATCCATCGAACTACGACCCCAGCAGAAATTACAGATGAACAGCATACAGACCTTCTGGATTCCCCCAATGTACTATAAATAGAAAGTCTCATTTTCTACTGGCTGGAGTATTTCCACTAATTTCACCTGTCCAAACAGACCTGCGAAAAGATATTTTGAAAGTCATTAGAAATCGTTCTAAAATGTACAAAATAACCAGAAATTTTCCAAATTGTGCTGAATTTCCCTTTAAAGCAGGTGCACTTAGGAATATCCATTTTTCGCACGAGACTGTAGCTGACTTTCTCACTAAATGACATATGAGAGCCCCGTTTCATGCTGTTCCGAGCGATAAGGATGACTTTTCTTGCCGAAGGACATATCTACATCAGCACAGACTAGTCCATTTTCCAACTCGGATTGGGAACGTTCAATCCCATACCTCGAATCGTCATCCGAAGAAGGCTAAATCACTATTCTATTATCTTTCCTTCGTGGCTACTCTTTCTTTCCTACTTTTTCTTTCAAAAGTTTTGAACACACTCGACGTCATGAATACGTACCTGCTGTTGTGATGACGTTAAATACCAACTAATTCAAAATCATATCTTACTCAACTTTCTCATATCATCCATTTCTCTGTACCACATTGCAAATCACTCACATCAATTCTAGATTCTTGAAATATATATTTCAATGATAAACATACATTTTCAATGAATTTGCAACAGTATTATGATATCTATGCATCGCCTTTCGAAAATATTTGAGACAACAGTAAGGTATACACTCACGCTGTTTAATGTTTATATACATTTGAAAGTTGTGGATAAAATAATGTATTTTCCTGCTGATTACGAGTCGCAAATTCTTACTCTTTAAAGTACATATAACATTGTATATAACATTGCTATTGATAGGAATGAAGAAAAGATCATTTAAGGAGAATATTTAATAAAATCATCAGTTGTCCCAAACCACAGGGACGTCGCGTGTTTATAAAAACTGTGTTTTTCGACAAACACATATGTAACATTGTTGCTACACAAACATTATAACTCGTGGTGGACGTTTGTAGGCCACAATTCAATGTTTTTAATATGGTCATGCCTCCACATAAATATTTCCTTTTTATTTTACAAGGAATATGATTGATATATGTGCTGATATTTTCACCGAACATATATTGTACATGTATAATAGGTAAAATTGCTTACATGCAAGAAAGATAACTCCTGTGTGCTTGGCAATGGGAAGGAGATAAAACTCGACTACTAATGATATAACTGCATTAGAGAAGAACCGTATCTGATTTTTATGATTTTAAACAACTGTGAATTGACTATTTAACTTTTCTGTAAGGCAGTCATAAACAGGACACACTGAGTGCAGACATTTCAACATGATGTTGTGCAACAGAATATCAAGAGCTACAGCCCCATCATAAACAAACCGACTACAAAACTACATGTGGTTGCATTCAGTGTAAATATCGATCTGGACTTGTGGAGCCATGCAGTGAACTAATGACCCGTTTAGTCATCAGAGCGATTCCCCAATAAGCGATCCTCAGTCAACATTCAAGCGGGGAAAACCAATGTAACTGACAATTCTAACGACTTTAGACTGTATAATATCTAGGACTGTTATAGTTTATTTCTAAGTCAAGTAAATAGTGTCACTTCCTCAAAATGAGAACCGATTACAGCAAAACTAGCCAACCAAACCAAGGAACATACACACTTAACTTTATATCGCACAAGAAAAATCTTCCTAAAGAAATTACAGTGTAGACCTATTATGTTTTCATAGTTTTCAGCCAATTGCATCTTTCAGAAAACCTATGTTTTAAATGTATCCGTTTGCTGTCGACATCTATCAAGAAATACCGAGTCAACTACTACATCAAAATGCCATTTGTTAGGGAAGTAGGGACATTGCTGTCTTGAGATGGACCAAGAAAAAAAAATCACAAACAACGCTTGACACTGAGGAAAACAACATTATCCACGATTTTCTTCCATACAAAAATACTAACTTTAAAATAAATACTTTGTTTTATTTATTAGTGTTATACTGATAAACAAAATCTTTTGTTTTGTTTCAGTACAGAATCCACAGATAATGTTATATCTGATGATAAAAAACAACAGGTTAGACAATGGTTTTGACGGTGATAAATAATTGATTTTTCGTTCCCCACTGATGAAATGTGCCGTGTCATAAAACCAATGGATTTTTCTACTAATCAGTTTTCATTATAAACACAGATCTTTATTTCTATAAAACTACAAACGCTTCTAACAGATAGTCCCATCAAATCAGCGATTCGGAGAACACACCAGGTGTTTTAGCCGAGACTTTTATGATCACGATATCACACAACTTCAATATTCCCGCCTCACCCTAGCTAGATTTTACCAGAAATGAGAACATGACCAGCAGACTGGGAAGATTCATTTCAGAGATTCAATATTTCAAATTTCAAAGAACCTTGAACTATAAATGTAATTATTGTTCACCACTGTTTATTTACTACTGAGGATAAGTGCACATTTCACTGGGAATCTGATATATCCAGAGATATGATGAGAGGATGGGTCCGCCGACAATGATCCGTGTTATACGTGTGGATATAAACGATAAATGGGTGAAGCGTCACAGAAAGATGATGTCAGCGTAGAATAAGAAAACTGCTCATACATTATTGATAGGGAAATGTACTGGAGCCATCTTCACATCAATGTTTTACTTGCATTAAGTGCGTACACGCATTCACTACCAATGTAAAGTTCTATTGGGGGTCGCTCATTTGTATAACCTAGAAAGACTTGAAATCAATAATTCAATGAACACACATCTAGACGTCATTTGTAAACTAATATTCTCTTCGTGTTTTTCAACTTCAAGTGGAGTGCGCTGTGTTAATGTTGTAATCCGTATGCTGGTTTGTCTGGATGGATCACTGCCCGGGTTACGTGTTATACAACAGTTACACAGACTGTATGTATCTTGTGTTTTACCATTATGATAGCCGAGGAAACTGTGACACAGGAAAACACAAACATAACGCTTTGTAATGCGCGGGGTTCTTAACCCATTATTGCACTACTCCAATGTTGTTTGTGACTCATACATACTCTTAAATCCATCCACTTGACTTTTCTTTATATCTTTATAAATGTATTGTGCAAAAAGAAGAAAACAAATAGAAGAGTTTCTTTATATAATCTCATCTTACAATACAGTGTATGGATTTGTTTGAGGTCGTACAGTTTAATTCCTTTTCAAAAATCAGTCACGTTCACACAATGGTGTATTTCTTTTCTCCATATTCTTTGTGTTTGTTTATGTATTATTATATAGTACATATTTAATACAAACGGAAATAAATATCATGAAAAGAAGTTGCACTACTCTAATTACGATGTCTTCACTTATTACGTTATAATAGGGTTTGGTGTGGTTGAAGTAGAGATTTAATTCAACCTCATGAAATATCATGTGGTAAATATTCCATAGAGGGCTCTGTAGCTTCTTATTTAAGTGTGAAGCAGCGACCTGCTGTATTAAAGTTATTACGCATGTAGAAGTATCCATCAATACGATTACAAATTCTCAAGGTCAGTTGACAATGGCAGAAATTGGAGCAGTTGAAGATGTCTCCAAGGCACCCAGTTGTTCAATTAAAAACACGGAGTGAATCAGAAAACCGACTTTTAATTATCCTGTTTCGGGGATATTGGCGGGGTTTGTACATTAATTTAGAGTTCAGTCAGGTTTGAATGATAGAAAAACGAATTTCGTACCGCCGTTTTCTTGGAAAATACCTTAGGAGTTTTAAAGCAGGAAAAACACTCGATGCTCTCTCCGGTTCAAGGTTGTGCCTGTCGACAAAATATCTGATTCAGGAACAGCCATCTCTATCTTGTCTATGAGTAACGAATCACCTTTCAATGATCAGTATTTGTGGAGCTTTACAGAAAAACGTTCCCAATTATACCGAAGTTGAATTAATTTCATATCACTGTACTCTATTGAAATTCCTATATTTTCAAACAATTTTCATCAATGTTCTGAAGGATTACTTTCTGTATCTAGTACTGCGATAATAACTGATAGTTACTGGTGACGTCTAGTACAGTGATAGTTACTGGTGACGTCTGACATCTAGTACAATGATAGTTACTGGTGACGTCTAGTACAGTGATATTTACTGGTGTGGTTTAGTACAGTGATAGTTACTGGTGACGTCTAGTACAGTGATATTTACTGGTGACGTCTAGTACAGTGATAGTTACTGGTGACGTCTAGTACAGTGATATTTACTGGTGACGTCTAGTACAGTGATAGTTACTGGTGACGTCTAGTACAGTGATAGTTACTGGTGACGTCTAGTACAGTGATAGTTACTGGTGACGTCTAGTACAGTGATAGTTACTGGTGACGTCTAGTACAGTGATAGTTACTGGTGACGTCTAGTACAGTGATAGTTACTGGTGACGTCTAGTACAGTGATAGTTACTGGTGACGTCTAGTACAGTGATAGTTACTGGTGACGTCTAGTACAGTGATAGTTACTGGTGACGTCTAGTACAGTGATATTTACTGGTGACGTCTAGTACAGTGATAGTTACTGGTGACGTCTAGTACAGTGATAGTTACTGGTGACGTCTAGTACAGTGATAGTTACTGGTGACGTCTAGTACAGTGATAGTTACTGGTGACGTCTAGTACAGTGATAGTTACTGGTGACGTCTAGTACAGTGATATAGTTACTAGTACAGTGATAGTTACTGGTGACGTCTAGTTCAGTGATCTGGTGATAGTTACTGGTGACGTCTAGTACAGTGATAGTTACTGGTGACGTCTAGTACAGTGATAGTTACTGGTGACGTCTAGTACAGTGATAGTTACTGGTGACGTCTAGTACAGTGATAGTTACTGGTGACGTCTAGTACAGTGATAGTTACTGGTGACGTCTAGTACAGTGATAGTTACTGGTGACGTCTAGTACAGTGATAGTTACTGGTGACGTCTAGTACAGTGATAGTTACTGGTGACGTCTAGTACAGTGATAGTTACTGGTGACGTCTAGTACAGTGATAGTTACTGGTGACGTCTAGTACAGTGATAGTTACTGGTGACGTCTAGTACAGTGATAGTTACTGGTGACGTCTAGTACAGTGATAGTTACTGGTGACGTCTAGTACAGTGATAGTTACTGGTGACGTCTAGTACAGTGATAGTTACTGGTGACGTCTAGTACAGTGATAGTTACTGGTGACGTCTAGTACAGTGATAGTTACTGGTGACGTCTAGTACAGTGATAGTTACTGGTGACGTCTAGTACAGTGATATTTACTGGTGAGGTCTAGTACAGTGATAGTTACTGGTGACGTCTAGTACAGTGATAGTTAGTGATAGTTACTGGTGACGTCTAGTACAGTGATAGTTACTGGTGACGTCTAGTACAGTGATAGTTACTGGTGACGTCTAGTACAGTGATAGTTACTGGTGACGTCTAGTACAGTGATAGTTACTGGTGACGTCTAGTACAGTGATAGTTACTGGTGACGTCTAGTACAGTGATAGTTACTGGTGACGTCTAGTACAGTGATAGTTACTGGTGACGTCTAGTACAGTGATAGTTACTGGTGACGTCTAGTACAGTGATAGTTACTGGTGACGTCTAGTACAGTGATAGTTACTGGTGACGTCTAGTACAGTGATAGTTACTGGTGACGTCTAGTACAGTGATAGTTACTGGTGACGTCTAGTACAGTGATAGTTACTGGTGACGTCTAGTACAGTGATAGTTACTGGTGACGTCTAGTACAGTGATAGTTACTGGTGACGTCTAGTACAGTGATAGTTACTGGTGACGTCTAGTACAGTGATAGTTACTGGTGACGTCTAGTACAGTGATAGTTACTGGTGACGTCTAGTACAGTGATAGTTACTGGTGACGTCTAGTACAGTGATAGTTACTGGTGACGTCTAGTACAGTGATAGTTACTGGTGATGTCTGACGTCTAATACAGTAAAAGTTACTGGTGACGTCTAGTACAGTGATAGTTACTGGTGACGTCTAGTACAGTGATAGTTACTGGTGACGTCTAGTACAGTGATAGTTACTGGTGACGTCTAGTACAGTGATAGTTACTGGTGACGTCTAGTACAGTGATAGTTACTGGTGACGTCTAGTACAGTGATAGTTACTGGTGACGTCTAGTACAGTGATAGTTACTGGTGATGTCTGACGTCTAGTACAGTGATAGTTACTGGTGACGTCTAGTACAGTGATAGTTACTGGTGACGTCTAGTACAGTGATAGTTACTGGTGACGTCTAGTACAGTGATAGTTACTGGTGACGTCTAGTACAGTGATAGTTACTGGTGACGTCTAGTACAGTGATAGTACTAGTACAGTGATAGTTACTGGTGACGTCTAGTACAGTGATAGTTACTGGTGACGTCTAGTACAGTGATAGTTACTGGTGACGTCTAGTACAGTGATAGTTACTGGTGACGTCTAGTACAGTGATAGTTACTGGTGACGTCTAGTACAGTGATAGTTACTGGTGACGTCTAGTACAGTGATAGTTACTGGTGACGTCTAGTACAGTGATAGTTACTGGTGACGTCTAGTTACTGGTGACGTCTAGTACAGTGATAGTTACTGGTGTGACGTCTAGTACAGTGATAGTTACTGGTGACGTCTAGTACAGTGATAGTTACTGGTGACGTCTAGTACAGTGATAGTTACTGGTGACGTCTAGTACAGTGATAGTTACTGGTGACGTCTAGTACAGTGATAGTTACTGGTGACGTCTAGTACAGTGATAGTTACTGGTGACGTCTAGTACAGTGATAGTTACTGGTGACGTCTAGTACAGTGATAGTTAGTGACGTCTAGTACAGTGATAGTTACTGGTGACGTCTAGTACAGTGATAGTTACTGGTGACGTCTAGTACAGTGATAGTTACTGGTGACGTCTAGTACAGTGATAGTTACTGGTGACGTCTAGTACAGTGATAGTTACTGGTGACGTCTAGTACAGTGATAGTTACTGGTGACGTCTAGTACAGTGATATTTACTGGTGACGTCTAGTACAGTGATAGTTACTGGTGATGTCTGACGTCTAGTACAGTGATATTTACTGGTGACGTCTAGTACAGTGATAGTTACTGGTGACGTCTAGTACAGTGATAGTTACTGGTGACGTCTAGTACAGTGATAGTTACTGGTGACGTCTAGTACAGTGATAGTTACTGGTGACGTCTAGTACAGTGATAGTTACTGGTGACGTCTAGTACAGTGATAGTTAGTCTAGTACAGTGATAGTTACTGGTGACGTCTAGTACAGTGATAGTTACTGGTGACGTCTAGTACAGTGATAGTTACTGGTGACGTCTAGTACAGTGATAGTTACTGGTGACGTCTAGTACAGTGATATTTACTGGTGTCGTCTAGTACAGTGATAGTTACTGGTGACGTCTAGTACAGTGATAGTTACTGGTGACGTCTAGTACAGTGATAGTTACTGGTGACGTCTAGTACAGTGATAGTTACTGGTGACGTCTAGTACAGTGATAGTTACTGGTGACGTCTAGTACAGTGATAGTTACTGGTGACGTCTAGTACAGTGATAGTTACTGGTGACGTCTAGTACAGTGATAGTTACTGGTGACGTCTAGTACAGTGATAGTTACTGGTGACGTCTAGTACAGTGATAGTTACTGATGACGTCTAGTACAGTGATAGTTACTGGTGACGTCTAGTACAGTGATAGTTACTGGTGACGTCTAGTACAGTGATAGTTACTGGTGACGTCTAGTACAGTGATAGTTACTGGTGACGTCTAGTACAGTGATAGTTACTGGTGACGTCTAGTACAGTGATATTTATTGGTGACGTCTAGTACAGTGATAGTTACTGGTGACGTCTAGTACAGTGATAGTTACTGGTGACGTCTGACGTCTAGTACAATGATAGTTACTGGTGACGTCTAGTACAGTGATAGTTACTGGTGACGTCTAGTACAGTGATAGTTACTGGTGACGTCTAGTACAGTGATAGTTACTGATAACGTCTAGTACAGTGATAGTTACTGGTGACGTCTAGTACAGTGATAGTTACTGATAACGTCTAGTACAGTGATAGTTACTGGTGACGTCTAGTACAGTGATAGTTACTGGTGACGTCTAGTACAGTGATAGTTACTGGTGACGTCTAGTACAGTGATAGTTACTGGTGACGTCTAGTACAGTCATAATTATTGACGGCGTCTGCTACAGCGATGGTTATTGAGTTATGTGGCTTCAGTTTAATTATAGTCTGTGTTCACGGATTTATAATGAATGTCATTCGCAGCTCTCCAACATGAATAGTCTGCAGGGATAGGTCGATGATTCCGAAAATTATGCTGTTTCCGTCTTTTTGGCGGTTCCGGCATTAAGTAGGCGTCTCAACAGTTACATAACCCAGACTCCAAACACTTTGAAAGGTTAATGATCAAATGCTAACTTTGTTTAAATTTCATCCGTCAGATTCACGTACATGTAAGTGGCCACCTCTCTGATACATACATACTACATTCTTTCTCTCGCACTTCCACCGCCTACTAGGTGAGCCCGTCGGAAGTGGGTTCTGAATTAGATCTCATAAACGATGGCTATTTGTAGTTTTTGAATGATATTTCACTTATAATGGTACCTTACTGTACAGGTATGCTAAGTATGTGAAGGTATATACAGGTATGCTGTGTTTGCTGGTTTCCCTTTATATATGACTATATGATGAACAGTGATATATACATCGCTATACGCCCATATACTCTGTAAACCTTCAAAGACAAACCTGAACAGAAATTTTCCGTTTTGGCAAAGAATCAATCAGACACATCTGCTAAATTCAGTATTTATTAAAGGAAAGTTTACAAGCTGAAGCAGTTTCCTTGTACCAGGTAAAAATATAATCATTCTTTATTGTCTGTTAAGGAAATATTTGGAAGGACAGTATTTGTTTAACAATTAATTGAAACAATGACAATTTCATGGTGGTTATAACGTGACACAAATTGATGTCGAGTTGAAGTATTATTAAGTATTGTAGTGTTAAATTGCAACTCCAATAAACACGTAAATAGTTTTAATCAAGCTGAGTTAAAACTCCGTGTCCCTCAATGCTTCCCTTCCAAAACCGATCATTTACATCACTCCTGTCAGAACTGTAGCCAGCTAAACCAGGATTCGATCGACTACCTCCAAAGGACTCGCGCAACTAAACCACCTAACGAAAAAAAAGCTGTCCCGACTGTTTTTTTTTCGATGGTTAAAATATTCGCGATTTTGCCAACAATTCGAGGTCAAATTGATTTATTTTTAGATGAACTCGATTTTCATGAAGCCTATAGGTTTCATTATTGTCAAGGAATCTATTGTTGGTGAATTCAATCCGTCCTCGAAAACAGTAAAATACATTAAAACACTCGGAAATAGTGACCTTTGACCTTTACAGTAATGAACACATAGGAAGTCCCTTTGTTTAATCTTTTAATGATTTATGATGACGTCGACAGGAAACACATCGGGGATCTCGGCGGTGTTCACTTTCCTGGTTTGGGTCATAACTTTCAAATGTGAACTTCGGTTGATGACATCTGAAGACTTTGTCAGTTAAACCATCTAGTTACGGGATTTGTTGCCTTTTACCGGAGTCATTTGTGTTGATCATTGCCAGAAATGACATAAAGTTTAGTTGTACGAGTCCCTCGAGATAGATTCTCTGGTCAACTTCACTATGTCTGATCACCGAGAATTGACTTAGACAAGCCATGCTACCTTTCGTCGTCTTAGGCGGAGTTTATTTGATTTGGGGTTGGGGGAATGGGGGGACCTTTCTAACTCTAGATGATGATAACACTGGTCCTTGACGACCGACTCAGACCAACACTGCTACGCATACGATTACACAAAATGACGCTGAAAGGCGAAAGCTGAATATCTATTGATAATGACCAGTATTACATCAGGTTAAATATGCAAATCTAATATTTTCACTCAATCAACTTCATTCAATATATTGTATAAACAATCAGATGAAGTATCTTTGAGATTCGACTGATCTTGAAAAATTAATCTAAAGATGGTATCGTTTTGAACAATGAATTCCATATACATATATAATCTAAACATGGTCAACGGTATCATTTCGTAATTTCAATTTCAATTCAAGTGTTCATGGAAAATAATAGATTTGCAGTAATATTGCATTGTGTATGTTGTTAGATAAGTATTCTACATTAGGACATACGAAAACAATTGATGAACGTATAACATATACAAGGCATGCTGGAAATGGGTTTGTAAAGGGTATGAAAACGTCTAAATAACAATCATTAGCATAAGTTTGTATCACTGAAACGCTTGTCGTTTGGAACTGTACGTTGCAAACGTCGTAGTGACGCGAGTCAATTAGCACCATAAACATATCAACTAAAATAACAGATGTCTACCTCAAACAATTGAATAACAAAAACGTCCCACGGAGTGTCACTGGTCAGTCGACCGAATGTCCTCCGATATACCGGAACTTGTACTGTCACTTGTCAGTGTGAGTTTGCTACCAGCTCGACTAGACATTTCATTTTCCTCTCGCTCCTCCTCGGGAGCCTTTGTAGAATGTTCGAAACCCATCGGACCGGAAACCAACGAAAGTTCGTTCAATGGTTTCTCAAGTTTTGTAACGTGTACAAAGCAACATGGTTGTGAAATCTCTGTTTTCTTCGGAGCTTTAAACTTTTGTTTACTTTTGTTTTGTGACTTTTTCTTTTTCTTTGATTTGCTAATATTGAAGAGTTCATCACTGGGATCGGAAGTCACCTTTTGGAGCGCGTTGTAGAACTCGGTCGCCGCACCTCCGTCGTCGAAACTGAGACCTGCTAGTCGTGTGTGGTCTGTCATGAGATGAAGCGTATGGAAGTTCGTATGAGGGGCGGAATAATCCGTTAAATGATCTACTTTATTTTTCCATAAAACAAAGCCGGTACCTTTTTCTGCTAACACAATCTGTAATCTTCTCTTTCGATGGTGCTCACCGGTGTCGAGTACAAGAACAGGTATTCCGGTCATAGTAAATTTCCAATGATCCTTCCCGCCCATGACTTTACCGAAGTATAAATTGGCCAGACAATTACAAACCACCACCTCAGTTTTGTGACTTTTGAAGAAGGTATCAACTTGTAGAATGTCCTGTTCAGTGACACCCTCTGTGAAACTCACTGGCCGGTAACTTTGTGACGAAGACTGTGCCGCTTCTGTAACTTTTATGGTAGGATTTTCCCGTCTTTTCACCGCCGACTGATCTTCTGTTGCAGAGCCATTCACTGCTGTTTGTGGCCCGAATTTTGATACAGAATCGTATTTTTCCTTTAAATGTTTGATTCCTTCCTTGACCTGACCACTTTTCCTAAACCTTATAATATCCTCTGTGGTACAGTAAGGATTTTCCCGCTCAAAAGAGTCCAACATGACGTCATTTTTAGTCGGCATAGTTGCAGAATGCGCCATGGGCAAAAACCTCACACTGAATGAAGCTGGTAAACAAACAACCTTTTTTGCAGTTGTCAGAAAACTACAAATACCTCATCTGCCTTTATGAAAATGAGTCCGTCACAGACATGTTATCCAAGGGGATTGGTGAACAGTTTTAGATTCATATACACATGTACTGATGAGTGAAAATAATTGTGGATATCCTTCAAATTTACAACGAAGTCATTACGTGAATTGCTCAATAAGCCAATATTTCAATTTTAGACAACAGGAAGAATGACGTCAAGTTAACAATTGTTTACCACTTTGTAATGGGCTGACGTTTCCTGGATCAAAATCACAATGATTTTTAGATAAAATAGATGTTAGATGTTACTTTACTAGGCGTTAGAGTTTATACACAATACACACGCGTTATTCACAATGGGTTACAAAAAATTAAAAATAAACTCCCAGCTCTACAAACGAGGTTCACTATCCGAGCTACAGGAATGACTTCCTGCTTATTATGCCACATCTTGGTATGATTCCAGGTCACGTGGTAAAAGATGAGAACGAAAGACGAAAAATCAATCTGGCACTTGTTGATCAGGCTGGTGATGGTAATGACCTGTAATGGACAAATAAAAACGTTTTAAGAAAAAAAATATATGCAAAATTCCTGCAAATAAAAAAAGGAAGAATTATTCGAGGCTCGTTACTGAAGATCAGATAATGTTTAGACTCTCCCTAATAATGATCAAACACCAACCCAATTCTGTTTAGGTGCTTGTAGTACAAACTATGTCCAACATCCCGTAAATCTCACACAGTTGACATTTCCCTGTGGTAAACGTGCAGACAGTATAAATGGTTGTGTGTAAGGAGAATCCATTTTTACTAGATACGATACTGGATAATCACTGTCTCTCACAGCTTGATAAACTTAGATAATTATCACAATTCGTGGAACTAGTCTTACAGAAAGGCTGATGAGGTCCCGGACTCACTTCCTCAATGTTAGACAGAAGTGACCTGCACTCTCACTCAATGTCAAGTTGTATTGCAAGCGAATCAGATGAAAAATGAAGATTAACGCACCCCCGGGAAATGTTTCAGGATTTATACATACATTAAGCATTTGTTTTAAGGAAGAAGGAAACAGGGATGTGTTTATTTACGCGCAATAATGTAACAATATCTCATAACTTCCTTATAAATTCAAAATTATGGTGTACCTATTGGTTAAAGCTAAAATACATACAAACATTAACACCAAAAAAGTACCCCGGGGTGCTAACAATACACACAGTATTCATGAACACTAACTGCACACACGGTACTCATGGGGATATACAATAGGGGACTTTTAGATGAGAGTTCTCCACTCATCAAACAAAAGGACCATCGTGACCACTACAGTAATTCGCATGACAATGGTGATTTAAGGACAATAATTAACACGGAGTGTGTCGCTGAGCCAGTGTACAGGAAGACAGCTAATGAAGAATTATTACAGAAGATTAATTAATCAGAAAAAGAATTTGGTTTAAACATATGACTTGTTTCTGACTCTGACATGCTTCTTGGCGTTGAATTCCAGTAGAACTTTGTAGCAATTTATCAAAGATGTAAACAACTGAAGTATCATTGTTTACGATACCCTAGCCGTAATGACCTTCCCGTGAAAGGTGTCTTGCCGTCTTCGTGGTGGTCACGTGATCTTACCATTACATCATCAGACGGGACTGATACATCGTTTATCTTCTGATAAAGCTTTGAGACTGTGTCCCGCTTTAACCCCTCCCCGGCATATCACCTATCATATATACATGTACCACTATATCACCAGCCTACACGCTCATCAACGGTTTTAATGTTGAACCGTTGGGATGTACTGGTGTTACAAACGGTTATTACATACAATGCAATAATTTGTATCTGTTTTACAGCAGTTACGAATAGATACTGTCTGTAAAACAATAGTTCAGTAGTCTTTCCACGAATTTCAAAGCCTAATACAACATGGAAACGAAGCGTACTTAGTGGCTGTGATATACATCATTTCATCATGGTGTGTAACTTTCCTGTCGGCTTCTTTCTTCTGGGAATTCATTCAACGACCAGCTAACCTCAATGACAAATACAACCTAGCACCAAACCATCAGTCCTGTAGCCTCTCCATCACATGTAGACCACTAACTACCCAGCCACTGTACCATTCCCAATGTCATATCTCTTAGTAGTCGTCTAGAGCAGCCACACACCATTCATTTCGTTGTAGCGTTATACATGAAATTTTGATATTATGCCAGTTACAAGTGTGCAATTATCGCTATTGCAGAAAAAAATGTTAACAAACAGTGAAGCTGTACTTAAGAGAGAAGCTATTTAAAGCCTGGGTCAAGTGTGTGTTCGCATCAGTCTTGTAAATGTCGGCGCCTTCAATGAAAGTACCCTCCCTGTCGTCACTTCGGCAATTTGCGTGACTCTTCAAAGTTTAACAATGTGTTATACTCGCCACAAGCTCCATATATGGATGTACAAGGAGTACACGTGTAAACCTGGGATGCTGCAGGTATATCGTGTTTTATGTGTTGTGCAAAACGGCCCCGTGAATAATAAAATTTAAAGTAATCTATTTTGCTAAAAGAAACCATAAACAGGAATACTGTGGGACGGAGATTATCAAAAGAAAAATACATTAGATTAACTAGCTAGACTGAAGGGTACCTAGCGGTCGTGCACTAGACAGATACGGGTTCCACAATATAGCAAAATGGACATGTCAATATTGACTTGCCAAAATAACCTAACACTGTTACAGCATGAAATATCTATTCCCGATATTCAATTAATAAAGAACATCAGTTTCATAAAGATAAGAGTTACTTCAGTTAGTTGTCATCGATGAATTACTTGGTGTGATATTTACAGGTTGATCAATAAGTGCTCACTCTCTGTGAACTCAAGTTTCTGTAAATAACCGGAAATGAAATCGAAGTCAAAGTAAACAAGGCCGTCTGTAATTTTAGTCATCAAAAGCATTCCATGATCATCTCTTTTTGCATATGCACTTAATAAAACGATAAACGTGCAAGATTGATTATTTCCTGAAATAGGTTCATTTTTATGTTTCGTTCCTTTTCTTGATAAACAGGAAATAATATCTTACACATGTAGTCGTCACTTCCGGTTGTTCATAATGTAGTAATTCGTGCATGATAGCAAAAATACAAAGATCAACATGTAGGGCGTACGTTTTTAACACTGGGTAACAAAGAGAACAAGTGCCAGTTGCTTCAATACATCAAATTGTCATGGCCTTGCTGGCTGTTCGGCACAAGTCCTTGCTATAAAACTACATGAATCGGCGTAATTGAAAGTATTAGTAAAGTTTACAACCCAGTGAAAATGACACGTGACAGCTGACAGCTGAAACTGTATTTAGTCTGAGCTAGTGATGCAAGTACGTGTCCTAGACAATTAAGCGATCTGACTAAGCAAAGGAAAACTGTAAATTGCTGAACATGGCCCTCCGTTAATATCTCAAGCAACAAAAGCATCAAACAGTCTAACGAGGAAACTATACACATTGTTTTGATGAGAAATACCATTCCATTGAAATAATTTTTGTGTAGGAAAGTTATGTTGTGCTGAAATCCTTCTTTTCACTTACTGCGCATGTAACCGGGAAATATCATAAAACACATGATCTGATATTTGAGATTCTACAGACGGTATTCACATTGCATGTGATGAAAACATCAAAGTCAAGGACATGGATTTTACGGACGGGAATACATCGCGGAGAAGGAGACGGCTGTAAAATAAGACAGTCCCTGAGTCATGACTGTTACGGGGAGGGAGGCATGGATGGAGAAAGAAAAACAGAGAGATATGAAGAGTGAAATAGAGAGGATAAAGTAGGGGATTAAAAGGGGAGACACATATAAAAAGATAGACGACGTGAATAAGATGGAATAAAATAGAAAGGAGATGTAGGAGGGTCAAGATGGGTGGGCAGAAATGAGATGGAGAGCGTAGACACGAAGAGGACGGAAGGACGAAAAGATGGGAGGCAGAGGATATATGGGAAGGAAGGAGGCATGACACAGGCAACAGATAGGATACAGAGAATCAATTACACATAATGGCCAGTAAAAAAACCGTAATCCATACTGGTCAGATTTATAATAGACAAAGCATCCGATCGTGGTTTTATCTATACTGATGTGATCAGTAGTCAATGATAAGAATTCGAAAAATCCAACTACCACGGTCAGAATCGGTTTGGATTGTCGTCTATTTAAATATGAATGAATATTCATGAACTGATTATATACATTCCAGTCATAAGATTGACTGCTTATTGTGACGGTTATAAAGCGATAACCAGAGAATTATGTAATAGTATAATCAGGTCTTTAACAAAAATATTCGCATACGTCGACATTTTTTTATTTTTGCATTGTAGTAAGACTTTACAACAAAACCTTGTCAGACCAAGCGTTATACAGCTCCGCTATCTCAGTAACAGCAGTTACACCGTCACTATCTCAGTAACATCAGTTATACCGTCACTATCTCAGTAACAGCAGTTACACCGTCACTATCTCAGTAACATCAGTTATACCGTCACTATCTCAGTAACATCACTTACACCGTCACTATCTCAGTAACATCAGTTACACCGACACTATCTCAGTAGCATCACTTACACCGTCACTATCTCAGTAACATCAGTTACACCGACACTATCTCAGTAACATCACTAACACCGTCACTATCTCAGTAACATTAGTTACACCGCAACTAGCTAAGTAACATCAGTTACACCGACACTATCTCAGTAACATCAGTTACACCGACACTATCTCAGTAACATTAGTTACACCGACACTATCTCAGTAACATTAGTTACACCGCCACTATCTCAGTAACATTAGTTACACCGACACTATCTCAGTAACATCAGTTACACCGTCACTATCTCAGTAACATCAGTTACACCGACACTATCTCAGTAACATCACTAACACCGTCACTATCTCAGTAACATTAGTTACACCGCAACTAGCTCAGTAACATCAGTTACACCGACACTATCTCAGTAACATCAGTTACACCGACACTATCTCAGTAACATTAGTTACACCGACACTATCTCAGTAACATCAGTTACACCGTCACTATCTCAGTAACATCAGTTACACCGACACTATCTCAGTAACATCAGTTACACTGCCGCTAGCTCAGTAACAGCAGTTACACCGTCACTAGCTCAGTAACATCAGTTACACCGACACTATCTCAGTAACATCAGTTACACCGTCACTATCTCAGTAACATTAGTTACACCATCACTATCTCAGTAACATCAGTTACACCGCCACTATCTCAGTAACATTAGTTACACCGCCACTGTCTCAGTAACATCGGTTTCGCCATCACAAACTCAGTAACATCAGTTACACACACTTTCTCGGTAACATCACTAACTACCGTGTAACTACTGAATCAGTAATATCAGTTACAGCGCCGACTCTAAATTAACTTACAGGTGACTACGGAGTCAGTAATACCAGTGAAATATCGATCACCACAAGGTTAGGAAACAACTCCCATACT